CATTTTGTAAATTAGCCTCTGGAGCAGCCGTCGGGCCTAGAAGGGCTGCAAAGGCTGGCTCCATACCAGGCTGAGAAAATTAATTCCTTGCTTCACATGCAAACATCTTTCTGCTCTTGGCGAAGGGAATATAGGCAGAGGGGGCTAAAATGTGATCTGGGATAAAACAGCATCTTTTGTCCCTGGGTTGCTTTTCACAGAAGAGAATGGGATCCTGCAGAAGTCTTTCAGCTGCCCGATGGCAGAGGCAGGAAAGCGGGGCAGGCTTTGCCATTTCAACCCCCCTGGCCGTCGGACTCGGTGGCTACAGAAAGCCGTGGCGAAAGCCATCGCAGTGCTTCATCCTACAGCCCCAGAGAACTGCTGTTCTAATGGGCGGTGCTTTGGCTTTTTCATGCTCTTTTTGGTGATTCTGCGAAGACCCGGGTTTTGACGCGTAGTTTTCTACTACAGCAGCTTTCTGGCATGCGTTCTAGGTGTGTTTTCTGATTTTGTGAGACTCCTAATACTTAGGTACAAGTAGTGATGTGCAAATCAGGAATTCCCAACTATGGCTTCTTCCCTTCCTCTGTCTTCAAGCTCATTAAAAAACTACAATTTCCAGATCTGATGGTGAGAAGGAATCCCAGGGGCTGTCACAATGCAGTATCTTGCACATGATTTTAAGTGAATTAATGAAAAGATGGTTGTATGTGCTATATGCTAATGTGTTGTTTTGTTTTTGTTTTTTTTTTTTTAGTGCAGATGGGCATGGCTCAATGTAGATATTTGCCTTTTATTGATGATGGGGGCAGGAGAATGCCCGTTTTTGCATTTTTTCATAATTTCTTGAGATCACTTTGAAGCTTTCCATTTTTCTCTGGCAAGATATGTTTCTGCTTAAGGATTAAATGGATCAACTTGATGTGGAATTTAATAACCTCTTAGTTTTAATCTATGATTTTAAGCATTCTTCTTTATTTTAAAGGGTTATCTTTAAAGACTTGTTTTGGCTTTGTTTTTCTTTTCAGGTTATAGTCTTCCCCAAAGTGTTGCTCCTTGTCTCAGCTGACCTGTACCTGAGCAGAACGATGCTCTGTTGGGTGACTACTCCTGTTGTCATCTGTGAGGAAAGTTTAAACATTTTAATACGTGGCATCATTCCCACAGCTGTCATTGCTGTCTGCAAGTTTATTCTCAGCACAGTGTGAAGCTTTCAGCCATGCAGAAGGGCAACACTTTCACTTAAATTGCTAAGACATGAGTTTTATATTCAGTTTTCTCTTGAGCATAATAGAACTTGTTACCAGGTCCTCTTATCTCCTCAAATTGAAGATTGGTGTTCACTGTCGAGTGAATTCGGGGCCACTCTTCTTAGAGTCCTGCATGAATATGCTTTTTTAGAACTCCGAAAAGATTTTCTGGATAGAAAATTGTTGCATGGAGATAATGAACGATTGAAGGCCAGTGATCTAAAAATATAAATGTTTTTTCTTAACACAGAAAGCTTGTGTTACCACATAGACTAATCTAAATCCGAGGGACAAGGAAGAATGTTTCTTTGTCACTCTAAAACAGAATACTTCCTTATGTATCCTTATGCAGTAATCACAATCTGGTTGCACTTACCTTCTGTAAATAGGACATGGCTCTGCTTATTTATCTGTGGTTTATGCACACAAATGTATGTGCACATGCACCCATGTGCTTGCACATGTATATATGCACCACATCAATAAGAATAATCTTCCAGAGTTATACTGATGCATACAGTCACAGAATGCATTTGGGAATGTAGCTTAGTGTGGGGAATACTGTTGGAAACTGGGAATTATCTGAAAGCATCATCTGGGATATCAAAAACCCTTGGCTCCACAGACATCAAAAAATTTGGTCAAGGAGTAACCCACTTAAGAAAAATATGAAAATAATTGGCAGTAGAACAAAGAGCAATGCACTGAATAAAGAGTAGGAAAGAGGAAGTAAATGGCAGCGAATACCAGATGAGAACATTTGTAGGAAAAGTCAGAGGGATCGGTGGCACACTGTGAGTTCCCAGGTTTTATGGCTGTGGCGGCAGCAGGAGCAGTTCGGGACTTCCCAGACCGCGTGCTCCAGCTTCCCACAGCAGTGCGGTTCCTCCCTGTTCTGCTTTTCAGCTCTTTAAAACAGGGCTCAAATCTCTCTCTCCATCCTTCGAATTACACTGCATTGCCTTAAGCTCGTTTGCTCCAAACCACCTGTTTTTGCTCTGCATCTCAGTTCCTGCTCTGCATCTTGGCCAGCCACGGACATGTGCTTGCGGGCTCGAAAATGTCAGCTTGGCAGAGCCTGGAACTGTTCTTGCTGCTGCTGGGAGGGATATTTCACTTCAAACTCCAGAGAAGGGAGAAATGTTTAATAAATACTTGGGTATTTGAAGCAACAAAGGGACGTATAGGGGTTGATGCATAAATTCCAGAAAAAAACCTAGGAAGACAGTTTGGAAAATATTGCATGAGAGAGAAGTGAGGCTCAGGTAGCTAAAGCTTTTGTTGTCTGAAAGAAGCTTGACCTGTGGTTTTATGAACTTGTGTATCGGCTGTTATCTGCTCACAGGAGGGCTTTTCAGTCCTGTTTGTATGGGCAGAAAAAGTTCCAAGAGTAGAAGGTGGAAATGAGTGGACGTATAAAACCGGTTCTTCCAGCCTTAGACTGATGTGAAAAGAGTATCAGAGCATGGCAGGTTCAGAAAAGGGGTTACTTTTTTTTATTCCAAGGAACGGAAATTTTATTGAAGTTCTTTGTTCCCCACCAGGCAGGGGTTCTCCATTTTGAAGGCATCCCAGCCTCCACGTGAGGTAGCGTAGATGCTTCCAGTCTCGGTAGAGTTGATGCAAAATACAGATGCCTGACTGATGCAAATGCTTCGGTCTGGGTGGAACAGCTGGAGGAACGAGCAGAACAGGACCTGTTCCTTGCAGACTCTGACCTGCATTTCTCATATCATTCCGGCTTTGCTTCTCTACAGAGATCCCTTGCCAGTTCCAAGTTGGTCTCCTTGCTAATTCCCAAGTTAAATGTTTGTTCCTGAGCGGTTGCAGAACTAACAAGTTTCCTGGATCCTTTCCATCTCATGTTTGGAGCTGACATCGCCATCTTCATCCGTGAATTACTCCTCCTCAGAAGCTGACCTCCGACACCAGATTGGATGCTGTCTTCTAACATTTATGAAGACTGTCTTGTGTTCCTGAAAGGATTCACACAGGCAGAAGACTTCTTTGATTTCAGAGATTCCCCAGTCCTTTGCCATTTGTTGTCCTTTAGAATTTCAAGAAAAACATTTTGAGTGTGCTGGATGCACGTTATTTGTATATTGATTCTCACTCGCAGATTCTGCTCTATCTGGAATCTCTATTTCTGTCCCAGAGATTTGTGAGCTGTTTGGTTGTGTATTTTTTTTCCTCTGTGTTTTTTTTTTTTTTTCTTTTCCCTTTTTAGTGTTCAAACAAATCTTGTGAAGATTGAATCCCTTTCATTCCATATTTGTGGAATAAGGAACTGATCTGTCTTAGTGATTTGCTTTTATGGTAACTCCTATATGCTACTAAAACCAAAACAACATTTTCTTTCCATTGCTTAGAATTGCACAATTTATATTTATTGCTCAGTTACTCAGGGAAAATAAGTAACCAGTTCCTAAAAAGGCAGAAAGGCTCAATGCTTTTACTAAAATAACTTTAAAGCATTTTCTTTTTTTTTGATTGCTAAATCCCACTGTCATTCTAGTTCAGGGATAATAAGGTCGGGCAGGACACATATCTTCCATTGAGAAGATTGCCAAGTGTTTATTATAGAACTTGTGATTTCTTCTTTGTTCATCCTTGGCATTTGTGTAGTACAGACATGCAGAAATTAATAACAGTCAATAATAGTGAGAGAATCTTCCTAGAGAAGCAATTGGAGGACAGGCTAATCCAGTGGTCGCTATCTAGGCTGGGAATCTAATTTGTTGAATTTATCTGGGCGAGCTACTCAACTTTTCAGTGACTCAGCTTCCTTATTTTGAAGTGGAGTTAACAGTAAGACATTAAAACTAGATATTATTAATGTGAAATCAAGTTACATAGTCGAAGGTATCTAAAATTACTCATATCCTTCTTTAAATAGTTATTTTCTCACTTTGAATAACTTCTGAGTCCATAAGAATGTAATTGAATTAAATTAGATTGTGGAAGGACTAATACAGTACTGCTTAGAGAAAATAAGAATGACAGAATATGCTGATTCAAGGAAAACAGTAAGAATAGTCAATTTAGAATGCTCTCAGAAGCACAAAATCCTCAGAGGTCACCTTCTTTGTGTCGTGGGCAGCTAGAGATCTGACAGTGCCATTTCAGTGTCTGCCTAGGTGTTTCTACTGAATCACCAGGAGAGGGAATGCAATTAGAGGTTTTCCTGCAACATTTACAAGTCTCATGTGTAGAGGCATCAGTTAGAGTTGAAAGGTCAACAATTCGTTTTAAATGGAAGAAACTCTTTAGTAGTGGTTAAATAAATAAATATTGCTTGAATAGGTGGAACGATGTGAATAGAAGCATTTTGGCATATGAGGATTACTTAGGTTTATAACTGGTACAGAGGTGTTCAAAATACCCATTCCTTATAGTAACTCTTTTAACTCTTGCTTTACAGTAAGTACTAGGAATTTGTTCTCTAGGCTTTAGAAGAGAAATACATAACTAGGTGGTAAACAAGGTCATCACACTGTTGAAAAGTCACTGTTTTGCTGAGTGTGTTTTAGGTTCTGAAGGAGGACCTACGGAAGTCTGTGTAGTAAAGGATATTTGGATGTTTGGATTATGTAAGCAACTGGTAGTGAAACACCTGGATTTGAATTCCAGAGTTGGTTTTGGGGGTCACCCTGATGCAATAATCGAGTGTTCAGGGTTGTACGAGCTTAATACTTATTTACAGTGATTTAATGCAACATATGTATTATCTGTAATAAGTAAAACCTTCCAAATGCTTCCTGTTAATAGGTCAGTGGTGAACAGATCCAACCAGGAAAGGAATTCTGCCTGCCGGACAAAGACCTGACAGCATGTGTGGTGAAATAATCTGCTCTGTTTGGCGAGTGGAGGGAAAATCCTTCTGTACAGCTGGTGAGTTTTTGTTTTTACAGTCAAAACAGATGTACTGACTAGGGAAGCCATTGGTAATGGTTTTCTTTAACCCATGCTTGGGTCATTAGCTGTTAGATTCTGTTAAGTTAACAATAAACTCTTTGCTATTTAAATACGCTGGTTGCAGGCCAGCTTTCCAAGGAAAAAGTTACATACTGTTAAAACTTTGATTAAGTGAAAGCTCACCCAAAACAATAATAAAAAAATCAAAACAACCTCCCCCTTCTACTTTGTAGCCATTAAAACTCGAAGAAAATTGAGAAAGAGCATGTGTAAACTTCTTTACAGTTCTAAGTGAGTCCTACAAATTTCTGCCAGTTAAACGTACAGAGAATGTAGGTCTTTGTGGCTGTTAGGTGTGTTCATTCTTCTTGAAGCACTGGCTGTAAATCCAATTCCATAGATTAAAGACTTCTAGCATAATGTAGGCACCTGTCGGTTTATGGAAGTCTAAAAATACCTCCCTGGATCTCACATGTTTTTCAGCAACTTGTAGCATATGTACATTTTTGGATACCTTTTAGCTCTTTTTTTTCGGTACTTGTCTGTCACTTCAGCTTTATGTGCTGTTATGTGCATAATAAAGTACATGCTCTTCATTGGCCGGCTTGTTAATACGCAACGAGGGCTTGCCATTAGCAGTTAATAATACAATATCTTTCCATTCTGCAGAAAGAAGGCAAAAGGCAGCACTATTGCCACACTGAGAAGCTGACAAGATGGGCTCTTTTACTGTTAGCAAGCTGGGTGTGATTACAGGGGAGGGAGAGGATCACATTGGCTGCAACAGATTCAAAGAGAGAACCCAGTTTTGTCAAGAACTAAATGAGAAGTAGCCTTTATGGTGTCAGGGTAAAATTAACTCTCCCAGGCTGAGAGCGCTACGGGATTTTCTTGTGCCAGTGTAGACAGTTGCTTGTCTTTATTTTGTCCAGGAATTCAAACTTGGTCCAGAGCTTTCATGTGGACTATCAGATGCAGTCCTTACTGCAGGACATGTCTGTGCAAACACATCAGTGTCGCACTGATGCTTTGCTTGAGGATTAGCGTGTTATTAATGGCAAATCATAGAATCCCAGAGTGGTTTGGGTGGGAAGGGAGTTTAAAGCCCCCCCAGTGCAACTCCCTGCCCCGGGCAGGGCCCCCTTCCCCCAGCCCAGGGGGCTCCCAGCCCCGTCCAACCTGGCCTTGAACCCTTCCAGGGAGGGGGCACCCACAGCTGCTCTGGGCACCCTGGGCCAGCGCCTCCCCCCCCGCACAGGGAAGGATTTCTGCGCTAGAGCTCATCTAAATCTGCCCTCTCAGTTTAAAACTGTTACCCTTCATTCTGTCACTGTACACTAAATGGTCTGGTGCAAGATATTGTGAAGCTTGAGGCGAATGAAGTACATTGCTAGATAAAATCCTCCAGATCTGAAGACTCACATGTGAATCTCCTGTTCTTGCCTTGTGACAGCGAAGGAAATAAGCACAGGTTTTAGTCCTGAGACTAGAGCAGAAGTTGTTCCTTGTGGCCTCTCACCTCTGTCATGGCTCCATCATGAAACCAAACAAGTGCCTGAGTGCTTTTGCTTCTTTTCAGGATAAGGTCAAACTTGTGAGTTACTTGTGAGTAAGAACTGATTACAGTTGAGATTTAGGAACTGTAGCACCCCACGCTTCAGTCTGATGCCCACAGCAGGAGCACTGTTTTGGGTATCTCTGGTTTCCCTTCCCAAGCCCCTTGATGGCATTGAGATTTCCATCCTTTCATTAAATGTGGTTGAAAGTGGCCAACGGTTCAAAAACTCTTGGTGGAGTGGGAGAACGGGGTCATAGGCAGGCCGGTAACTAATGTATTTACATAAGCCTTGTTTTCTTAGGAAACCATGCTAAAAAGCCATCTCTGTGTTCTTATAACCTTTGATGGTGTTTGGATGGGGTTAGCTCATACTTTAACTGCTGATTCATTTGACAGCATGTTTAACTTTGTTGAAGAGAACTATAGCAGGGTTTATAGATAACATAATGTTATTAGCTTGAAACTTGGAGACGGGAGGGAAGAAACAGGAAGGAAATCTGAGCTCTTGTAGGTCAATCTTTTGGTTACATTGGCATTAAATCAAGAACAGGAGGAGAAAAATTGTGCAACAAGAATCTGAGTCTTTTTTTATTGGCTTGCCACTTTCTATTTATGGGAACCCAAAATGACCTGGCTTCCTGGACTGAAAACAGTAGTAACATATCCTTTATGATAGTCTTTTATTTTTTAAGCCGGTCTCTGCTACATGTCTATGACATTTTTTAACAGATGCTATAGCCCACACTGCAGTCTGAAAGGTGGTGGGACCTGGGACCGCAGCCTGTGGCACATGAAGACCCAGGTGATGTTAATAAAGACAGTGATGGTGTTAGGGATGCCTCTTCCACCCCCAGTAAATCAGTATTTGGTGCTTCTTTCATACTCCCCCTCACCCTTGAGAAGAGCCTTATATAAATATTGTCACTCATTCTTTTCCCAACAGTGCCTCCAGGAAGAGTAAGGTAGTAATGGTCAGCACGAGAGAGATTAAGCAGAGATATCAGCAGCCCAACTGTTACAGTTTTACTCCTTTGCTTGGCTCTTGTGCTAAATTTAATCTTTCCCCCAGATAGCTCAGATTCTATTTTTTTTTTTTTTCTGCTCTGTTTTTATGTAGGCTGTACTGTGACTGGTTCTTACCTATGCCTAGCTTGTATTGCTACAGGAACAAAATTATGAGACATGAGTTGATATACTTGACACCCATTAAAATGGATAGAAGGGTCCCTACTGATTTCAGTAGAACCTCATCAGGTGAAGAATTGCTATGAATTGCTAAGTTTATTATTTGGAAAAAAAAAAAAAAAAGTTTGAGGATGTATTAGCAAAGCACAGGCTGTTTACAGAAGACTGATGTCCTAGCCAGCTGAATACAGTGGTCTATTTCTGAAATATGTCATCTGAGGGAAAAAAAGATTCATTTCACCTGATAAACATATGCAACAGCCTCCAGAGCCACTGACTCCATTTCATATGAAAGCATACAAAACTTTACGTATATGCTATTGCTAAATGCAGTTTTTAAAAAGAAGTGAGGATGTGCATGCAAGAGGAGATGTTCTTTTTTTATTTAACCTCTTACCCAGACAGGGCAGTTGTCAGGGAGGCTCCAGAGACCCTGAAGCACTGCTGAGCATGAACTTGAGGAAAAAAAGGAGACAGAGAAAGGAAATAGCAAGAGAAATTGCATTCACGCACATTTTTAACAAGGTGGAAAGAACATAAACTTCTTGTTTGATGCCTTCTGTATTTAGGAGAAATGGCACTTGTAAATGTTTTTGAATAAGCAAATCTGCATCCAGCCTACCAATTTCATCCTCAGTCTTTTATCTTGCAGGCCCTTGAAAACTGGACTTCTAATTTTCAATGTTTGGATTTGGTCAGAAGCAGCACCGCTATATACAGTACCTAATGGTTTCTTAAATAGCTCAATACTTTTAATCTTTTTTGATCAGCGTGAACAGTATGAGAGACTTTCCCTGCCCCTTTTGCTCATTTCTATATAGTATTGAGACAATGTGGTTCCTATTTTTTCTTGCACTGCCCAAGCAGTGACTTTTACCGTGGTTCACATGCCGCCTTGCTAGAAGCAGCTTTTTTTTTGCTTTTTTCATTCTTGTTGTTCTGAATGTCTCTGAATTGAAAATGTAAGTAACTTTCTTACAAGTCTAATCAACCCCCTCCGGAGAGTAGAATTCCACATAGTAGCAGCCTGTAAAACACCGTGTGGTGTCATCAGCTATCTATCACCTGAATTTTTCAAAACATTATCATTTCTCAGAAGTAAGATCTATTCCATTTCACATCCTTTCTCTCCTGTCTGCTGGGTGGATGTAGCCTGCTGGATGATGCAGAAAAAAATTAAGATTCATTGCTGCATTTTTCTGTGTGCATACAAATAATATGCACATAGGCATGGGATTATTTATTCATAGGTGTAAGGAAATAATCTAAATATTTCAAACAAAGTTAACATTTAAAAATGCATGAAAAGCGATTATAATATTTAGCCCTGCCTTAGACATATAGCTCTAGTTTTTCTTCCTCTGAACTTTTGTAAAGAAATCTGTTTCTAAAATGAATTGCCTATATATACAGAGGATAATTAGATATTAAATTGAAATAATTAAATTATATCAATTTCTATGGAACGCCTGCCAGTGGCTGAATACTTGGCACTTTTGTGAACACTGAAAAATCTGGAATAACTGAGGAAGTTTATGAATTCTTTGTGATATTGCTAATTATCCCAGAGGACTTTAAAGACTCTGCAGCAGTGAATTTACTCGAATCTGGATTTCTCTGGTGCCATATCAGAACTACTGACTCATGTTTGCACCAGTCAGAGTAAAACACAACTTAAGACTCACAAGATTTTTGAGTCTTTGCCTTTTACCGGTCATAATTTGTTGCCAAACTTTCTGTACTCATCAACAGGGGAAAGGAATTTCAAGAAGGAATTTGAGTGCATCTCGGACTGAGTTCTGAGATTGGCTCTGTTCAGTACTCTATTGTAAGTGATACCTAAGAGCACTTCTTTGCTCCTTTCAGTTTTGCAGTTCAGAAGTAAAGCCATTTGAGGGAAAAATAACTCAAATAGTCTACCAGATACTGTTATTCACATCGGTTAGGCACAGCTGGGAGACTGCTCAGGAAGTATAACACAGACTCAAATACCTATTGCAATTAGAGGTCTGTCTGGGTCAAAGAAGGAAGGAAGACCTTTCCTTCTGCTTGTACATGCATAGCCAGCTGAAAATACTCGATGGCAGTATTTTCATTACTTTAAGTAGCAGGGATAGACTAGTTTCTTTTAACTGAAAGTTACATGGATGTATGTGATGAAGGTTCCAGGTTTTTTTAGAACAGGAGATTCTTGAGATCTCCAGAGAAAGGTGGTGATGCTTCGAACTCTTGT